GTAAAATCAAGACAAAAACTCATAAAACCTTGGAATAGCAAAACTAGTTTTTAACCAGCTTTTGTCCCTCCTCTGCTTCAATCCACTAGAAACTCAACTTTTGCACTATTCAGGGAGCTTTCTTTTGTGAGTAGCTTAAGTTTGTAAATTAACATGAGAATACTCTTTCCTTGCATAATGTCAAAATCACCTTCTAAGGAAGCCCAATCTTTCTATGGCTTTCTAGATTACCCAAAAGTGCACAAATAGTGACTTTCTTTGGTGTGAACTTATCTTTTTGTACATTTTCAGAATAAAAAAGTGTAAAGAAAAACTTTTTGGTTTTGTTTTTTTAAAAATTTCTGTTAATGTTGACACAAAAGGAAAGGTGATTTTCCTGGTGTGTTATTGATAAAACGCCAGCATCATCAGACTATTTAATGAAAATGGGATAGAGTTGTTTGCATTGTTAAAGTGTTTAACATTCAGAAAGATACAAATCCCATAGAATGAAGCACCTTTTTCTCTGGAGGGAAAATGAATGCCTAGTAAGCTTTCCCTTTCCTCCTGCAAGATGTTTTAGCTTCACTAATAGAGTGGTGAAAAAGCTGAAGTTTATATAGAGTGCTTATGCTGTTAAAGCAAAAATTGAGCTTTTATTGTCTTAGTAAGGAAACAACTGCTTCCATCTAGGGGTAAGAAAATGAGATTTTCTAATAAGGAAGGACTCATCCAATTGCTTCCAAATAAAATCTGAATATTTTAGTGAAATGAGAGACCTCAGAAGATATGGATATTTAGAATGACTGCCACAGTAAAATAAGTAAGTCCATCTGCTCACTGATCCACGGGGTCTGCACTTGGATTCAGCCTCCTCGCTGCAGAATTAAGTGACATTAAAGATATGCTTATATATTTGGTATGAATTAAATTATTCTAAACATATGGAGGTCAGCAGTAGACCTAGAGACCCTGTATATCCTAAATTAATACATAAGTGCTACGTGTCTCTGGCCTTTCCCCAGAGATAAATTGCCACAGGGGTCGTCGCATTGCTCTCCTTGCTTTACAGGGGATAGACAGGCCAGAGCACTGGAGAGATACACTGAAACCTTCTCCCCATGCTGGGCGCTGATTTCTACAGAAAAGCCATGACAAGGGCTCTCTTCAGGGACCCTTGCATCAGCAGTGAATATCCATATCCAGCAGTTTTCTTGTGATGGGCAGAGTACAGAGGGATGGGGCAGTGGTGGCTCCTCAGCCGCCCAGTCTGTGCAACACCAAGCCTGGGGCTGCTCTCCTTCTGGCTGGGGCAAGAGCAGAAAGTCACCAAGTCCACTAAAGCCCTCCCATAGGACCTGTAGGTATGAAATGAATTGCCATTAGGACGGTAATCTAATTTTTTTTGCCTTTTTCTTGCCATACTCTTACACCTTTTCTTTTTCTTTTTTAAACTGATATCAATTTCTTTCCTTTGGTCTTTCCTTTGTTTCCCTTTTTGTGCACACTGTCTCCCTCTTTCCCTTTCCTTATTAGTCATGAATATTTTCACTTCTTCATCTTTCTCTTCTGGCTTTTAAAACATCATTTTCAAAACATACCTTATTCTCTCTTTTCTCTTTCTTTGTAATTTCCCTTAAATGCTTTTTCTTAGACCATATAAATATCTTACTGTTAAAATATCATCTAGAATTTTAGTTTGTATTTCTAGTATGGTTTGTTGGGTTTTTTTTAAACTGTTTTTGGTTCAATTTCTCTTATGTTTGGCATAAATAAATTGTATTCTGAAAAGCCCTTATGATAAGTTACGGGTTGAAGTACATTCTTAGAAGAAAGAAGGGGTTAAATACAGCCAGTAACACACAATGGAAAGAAAGGGAAGTTGGGAGGGATGAAACCAGTTGTGCTGACAGGATGTCTAAGGAACTCTGCTCTACCCCAAAGCAGACATTAGCACTGTCTGTGAAGATTACAGCTACCTCTGTTTGCAATGTCCTTCCTCATAGGAAGCACTCAAAGTGAAACAGAGTATCTGAACTTTGAATGCAGACTGCAGAGAAGCATAAACAGGCAATCAAATCCAGCTATAAAAACATCTATATGTAATACATTTGAACCCTAGCATATTGGATGCTTTTTATTACAGTTATTAAGAAGCGTCTGTGAGATCTGAAAGATAGCCTTATCCTAAAGGGAAAAGAAAATGACACTCTTTATTTGAAACCATTACTTACTGTACCACTTTGGGAGGGTTAACTGCATTGTCTAACATGCATCATCTTGGCATGCTAATTTTTCACAGGGGAATTCAGTTATGTAATTCACTGCTTTCAGTACTTACTGGAGTTACATGCTCTACAGAGGGGATCACAACACAGACTTTTGCATGTACTTTGTAATAAACATATGGAATAAATTACCAGGGAAAAGCAATCTGAAATAATGATACAAACGGGTCAAGTTTGTTTTGTGAGAGGAGCAGAGACTAATCCAACATCAGGAAAGTCTGTGACTAAAGACATTGAAAAGGGGCAGGTAAGAGCAGGAGGTCCTTTCTTAATCTCATAACTGCATGCATTAGAAGCTCTCATGTGTGCCTTTCATATTAAACACCAAATTTGTGGGCATAATTACTTAGCTGCACTTTCATATGTCATCTTCAAATTCTTTAACCTCAGTGTTCTGAGTCTACAATCATTTCCCAATTAATCACTGTAAATTGCTGACAGCCTTTAACAGTCAGTGTGATGAAGCAGGAATGAATCTATATGTTCATTTCCTAGGGACAGGTTTCAAAACCTCTTGCTTTACTTTAGTAGATGAAGGTAATAAAGATGGTGTGACAACTTGCTAAGACATCATTTCTTCACTGTTACTAAAATGCTAACTTGTAGCCAGAAAGTTTCACAGCTGCTTGCAAGGAATGTTGAGAGCCCTCATGACTTATGAGGAAAAGAGAAAATAAGAAGCAAGCCTTTCTATTCTGTGGGAGGAAGATGAGTGACTGGGTTTAAGGAAATATCTTAGGTAAATTTAGTAAAAAAAGTGCTGGTGGAAGGAGGCTAGTGTTGCTAGAAGAAAATATTAGTAACTTGGTGAATCTATATGTGATTAAAAGACTCAAGAGATTTGTTACCTCCTAATAAATCTGGGAAGAAAAATTGTTGTGGTGCAGTGTTTTCCGCAAATAACAGAAGAAAGAGAAACTGAGTTGAATAGAGCAGTGTGTAGAATAATCCCATCCACCCATACACAATTTTTGTACTGTGCTGCAGTTTAGATGGAATTTGCATGTTGTATAAGCTTCCATTTAGCTCTTTCCATATCTTGATTTTCACCTACTGCCTGTGCTTCTGGCAGACCTTAACGTGTTGTTAAGAAATGTGGTAAAGATTATGTGATTAAAATAGTGTAATACTTGGTAGGCATTCTTGTCAGCACAGGCAAGGGTAGTATTACTGTGAAGGCTCTTCTTGGTATTGGACAGTGGAAGAGACTGAGATTATCCTTCTGAAAGAGCAACAAACCAATAAAAGAATAAGTCTGACACTTGTCCCTCCCTCAAGTCCTAAGCAACCAGATCTCACTGACTTTTGCATACATGCTGAAGGAATGTACATCCTACAAAAGGAAAAAGGGTTTTCTGGAGGTTCTGTCAATAATGTAAATTACTTCTTCTCACTTTTAATTAAGGTAAGTAAAGAATGTGATAGCTAATATACACAAACATAAAAAATGGTTGATATCCAAAGCATAAAAGATTTAATAGTGATAGGATTATAAAATTACAACTATAAAATGCAATTATTGCATAACTTATTATTTTGAATCCCACCTGTGATTATTATTCTTCAATAATTTTGTTTTTAAAAACTATATAAAAATGCAACAAATTCCTAAGGGAAATCACATTCTAAAATATGGGGAAATTTAACTTTTTTGATTTTTAAAGTGAGATTTTTTAAAGGCTTTTCCATGGGCTTTGGAGATGCAAGGAGACCTAGCACTCAAATCCTGTAACAGGGACTGAAAATGTCAGTCTAACAGATATTAGGTAACACATATTTTGTTAGAAAACACAATAGATCAGATTTCTTCTTTAAGGAAATTATCCAGTGCTATAAATAGGATATTGCTATGTTTCATTAGAAGAACATTTGTTTCACTGTATGACAGATGCTATGAAAAAAAAATCAACGAAGTTGTTCTCTGCATGGGCTACAAGTCAGCCAGAGCCTCAGCATGTGTTTTGTTTCTGCTGGCTGGCAGCACATGTGTCAAAGAACTTTCTCAGCTAGTACTACTTACTAAAAAAAAATGTCCTTCATAGAAATGTCCAATCCCACAAGTTCCTGTGGTTCCTCTCAGCTTTTATTGGGTATTCATTTTGCTGCCCTAGAGAATTATAAGAAGATGCTGAGCATCTGTGTTGATGGTCCTAAGGCTTTGGCTACACTTACTGTGTAGTTATCCTTAATGCAAAATATCCTGTGCAAAAAACAAGGCAGGATACAGAAAAGCTCTAAACATTGAAAATATTATTGCAGACATTTTAGAATCAGGTGAACTGGGGAACAAAGCAGTAACATACACATCCTATCCTCATCTCTATCTATGTGTCAAATTATCCTCTCTCTATGAGGAAAACAGAATCTTAACAACTGACCTGTTGCTCATCTAGCTATAAAGAAATCACTAATCTGTCATGATGTACACATACTGTTCCACCTGGCAGGTAGATGTTTGAATTTTATTTTTTGACAAAGATTTCAAGGAAGACAGTGTGCTCAAAAGGAAGAAAATCAACTGAGCATGATGTAGAACTCTGATTTAGTTTTTCTTTTTTTTTTTTTTTTTTTTAAGCACTGTTAAAGGAATCTTTAATGAAAGCAGCTGAGTAAAGTGTCACAAAAAGAAATAGACTCATAGAGGATCTTGAGTACATTTGTGAGAGAACAATGGCATCCTTATGTTTCAAAATGAAGTAAGAATGTGGGGAGGCTGGGCTGAGAATGCTAGGATAATGAGGCTTTATGAGGAGGGCTGTTTTGTCCCAGAGAAACCTTTTCATTTGCCTTGGACAAGCTAAAGGCTGCAAGAGGTACAACATATCCCTCCATTCTGTGGCAGACAGCTATGGTAATTTAAGGGAGGGTCTCCCTTGCCTTGTTTCTGAAGTGCTTTGTATTCATTCTTTCAAACTCCTGTTGGTCCTATTTCATCTATCTTAGGCTAATTCTTTGCTTGTGCTTGTGCTTGCAGTTGGTACAAAGCTGGGAGAGGTGGGTGATACATCAGAGGGTTGTTAGGCCTGTCAGATGGACCTGTGCAGGCTGGACAATTGGATCAAAGGAACCTCATGGAGTCCAACCATCAAAATGAAGAGTTACTTTTCTGGGAAGGCATTATCAACCCCATGTACCAATATCGACCTGGAAGTGACAATTTGGAAAGAAACCCTTCAGAGAAGAACATGAAGGTTTTGGTAGCCAACAGGTTGAGCATGAGACAGCAACATGCCCTTCAGCCAATGGTGTTCTGACTTACATTAGCCAGAACATTGCCAGCAGGTTGAAGAAGATGATCCTCCCCCTCTACTCAGCAGTAGTGAGGCCTCAGCTGGAGTGCTGTGTCCAGTTCTGGACTTCCCAGTACAAGAGACAAAGAACTGCTGGAGAGGGTCCAGTAAAGGGCTATGAAGATGATCAGGAGAGAAGAGAATTTGTATGATGAGGAAAGGATGAGGGACCTGGGTCTGTTTAGCCTCAAGAAGAGACATCTGAGAGAGCCTCATCAATATATGTCAGTATCTGAAGGGAGGGTGTCAAGAGGAGGGGGTTGGACTCCGTCCAGTGACAGGACAGGAGGCACAAACTGTAATACTGAACCATGACAAACATACTGTAAGGGCAACAGAGCACTGGAACAGGCTGCACTGGGAGCCTGTGGAGTCTCCTGTTCTACTGATATTCAAAACCCACCCAGACGTGATTTTGTGCAACCTGCTCTAGGTAAAACTACTTTAGCAGGGGAGTTGGACTAGATGATTTCCAGAAGTCCCTTCCAACCCCACTGGCATTCTATGGTTCTGTGATCTTATGATCTCTTCTACGAAGGAAAGCTGAGAGTGTTCATCCTCGAGAGGAGAAGGCTTGGAGAAATCTCATCAATGTATATAAATACCCAATGGAGAGAGTGAAGAAGAGAGAGTCAGACTCTTCCTAGTGTGCCCAAGTGCAGGTGGCAATAGGCACAACATTGAAACACACAAAACCACAAAGAAAGACTTTGTTTACTATGGGTTTGGCTGAACATGGCAAAAGTTTTCCCAGAGATATTGCCTTTTCCATTCTTGGAGATACTGCAAACCTGTAAGGACATGGCCCTGGGAAAACTGTTCTAGGGTACCTTGCTTGAGCAGGGGTGTTGGACTTGATGATCTTGAGAGTTTCTTTCCAGCATCATCCATTCTGTGACTGTGATATTTGTAAAATTATTCTTAGCTTAAGGTTGTGTTTAGGTAATACAGAATTAAAGCAATTAAAGAAAAAAGTGTTTGGCCTCATATGGATAACTTAAATTTATAGTTTATATAGAAAATTAAGACAATAGAGGTGATATATTGAGGTTGTTTTTTATGGTATGCAAAAAAGAGTTACCTTAAGCACAGAACTCAGCTGTGGATCTCCCATGCACAATGAGAAACTGTGCTGTGTTCGTTTAAAATTTTTGAAATGAACATTTTATGAATTTTATTATGTATCACAAGAACTGATAAGCAGTGTATTTTTGTTAGAGTATCAAAGGAATATTTTATATCTATAACTGAACAATTTCAAAGCAGATTTGACAAGACAAATCAAGCTTGGTTGTCTCAATAATTTTTGAGATCAGCTGAAAAAATTCCTCAGTTTCTAAAATCCAATACTGTGGACAAAAAAAGGATGTTGTATCAATTTTATGTTTGATTTGCCAGCCTAATGAAGTCTTTAAGAAACAGTACAAGACTAATATATTTCTTGGACTAGCTTGTAAGAAATCAGAGTAGGAGCATCAGGATATGTGATGGGCCACTGGAATTTGATAATGTACTTGGGCTGCCACTGCATAGTACAAATTGGTCAACCTGGGAAACAGGGAAATAGACCAATTCCTTAAAAGTAAAAATGATTTGGAGTAAAGTGAGATGCATGCATAATCTAAGAAGCTGAAAACTCTTAGAATCTCTGGGGCACAACTAAAGAAGGTAAAACTCATTAATTTCTTACCTACAAACTATAGGTGCAGCAGGAAAAGTTCACAGGTTGGTGCACTTGTGGCTCAGGAGTCCTCATGTCATCTCATACACAAAGCTGGCTTTCCATTCCCCAGAAAAATTATATGTGTTTTAAACAAAATTCAAGTAATAACCCACCCCATCTTTTTAAACCTAAAATCTTTAACTGTAAGACAGGAGAAAATACTTAGTAAATCCCAGGATTTTATTGTGAGCTAAATGGACTTTGTGTGTGGATTAACTCTATGAGCAAATAGCTGTCTGGCAAATAAACTGTTTGAAACAGTATGATTAAAAAATTGCATGTTGGTTCAGAAGCTATGTATGATAGCCTAAAAAAGGTGTCAGACTTTCAAGAGAAGACATGAAGAATTTAAATTATTTACTAAGAATAAGGTATAAACTATTTATTTATGAAAAAATAAACTACAAAATAGAGCTAAATAAGTCCCACTTGTCTGTGAATTATACCAATAAAGCACTCCATTCACCTGAAGACAGAGGTTAAAGGAAGTCACTTGCAAGGTTCAACGAAGTTAAGAACAAGTATACACACTTGCTAGTCCCTTTGCTTAGAGAAGGACCCCACAGAACTAAATAACTGTATTGGAAGGGAAAAATTTCCATTACTTTCAATTGGGATAAAATCTGGAAAAGGTATTTCATTTAACCTTTCACTGAGCTTGCTTGTTCAGAGAGTTTTGGCATGTATAATCACAAAACCCAAGTTTGCATCTTTTCCTGTTCAACCCTTGCTTAAAGAGATGTTGTTTTCCAGACTATTTGTTTATGCTTTGCTCCTGAGGTGCGTCACTAAAATGTGTTGTAAGAAAGTTTGATGTCACAACAGCTATTATATCTGATAGTACTTTACACCATGGGAAAACAGTTCAAAGTGTAACAAGGAAGAACCTTAGAAATATTCAGAGCATAGGCTAAGGTTATAGAAATAACAATTTAAAAATCTTTTTAATAGAAAAATATACCTGGCAAAGTTAGCACAGCAAAGACTCAAGGCAGTCACTATAGGAGGGAACTGTCAAAGATGTTTGTTCTCAAGTAGAGGAGTCACAAACAAAGGTTTCTTTGGAGCAGTGAGCTATGGAGGATGATGTGCCCTGAAGTATCTTATAGATACACCTCAGTATATCAATATATATGGAACTAAAGGCATCATTTCTGAAATAGGTGGAAAGCAAATTAAAAAATTGTCTACAGATTTATTCAATAGGAGGCCTGATACAGTTCTTTGAGAAAATCTTTTTCAAAAAGAAAAAAGCAAGGGAATTCTTCTGCATAATGATCTATCACTAAAATTGTTTGTCAATATGCTCAAATAAAGAAAGAAGCTGTGGTCTTAGTCTACTGAAATGAAAGATTTCATGTCTTTTTAATGGAAATTCAGTGTATGTGAACAGAACCCAATTACTGGAATTGTCAGATAAATAACAGAGTAAGTTGTAGAGATTTATTTGTTTTTTAGGCACATATGTATGATTTTCAACTTGAATACTAATCAGGAGGAGAAGCTGTATTGTAAATGCATGCTCCAGATATTTTTGTGTAAGAGGACAGCTGAGATAGATTATATACATGTCAATCTTTTATAACAGTAAATCTGTTTGGTCTTCCATGAAATATGGAAGACTATTACTAGAAATGTTACAAGGGATGAGACATGCTAAAGAAACTATTGAAGTCACAGGCTATGGACAGCAGAACATTTGTAGAAACTCATGATTAAAAAATAATATTTGATTAAGAAAGGAATTTTTAGTGAGGTAACTGAGTAGTGATTCCTAAAATACTCAGAAAAAGGAAACCTTACTTTTATTTTTTTAATGTATGTTGAGTGAATAATTGAAGTTTTAAAGTGAAGAACCAAGTATGCTCTACATCTCCACAGTATGATGCCTAGGCTAGTAGATTGCAGTTTTTTAACCTTTTTTAGAGCTGTTATCCCAGGCTATGAGACTGATGGACTGAGCTTTGCCCAGTAGTCAGTATGACTTAGAGCCAGCTGGAACTGACTTTATCCAACACAGGGGTCAGTGTTGGAAATTCCTGGTGTCATCTCACAGAAGCCACCTCTGCATCCCCCTTGCAAACCCTGCCAGCAGCACCTAATGCACCATTCTTCCTACATCTCACAGGTCTTTAGAAATCTCAAACAGATCTCAGTTTTGAGGCTTATTTAGAGAAGAGAAAAGTCTAGGCAAGCGGACATAAACTGATGGTCCAGCAAAATGTGCTCTCAGATCAATATTGATTTCTGCAATTAGCCAAAAGAAATACCCAGGTTCCTAAATAATATATTGCCTCTCTGAACCAACCTTATGTGAAATTTGCATCACTAAAGAGGACATCAGTGCAGGTTAATTAATCTCTGGTGATTTGTCATACCTAGCACAGCAATATCTAACAGAGAAGTACTCTTTAGTGATTGTGAAGCGGAATGCTTCCGGAGAAGTATGAACAAAGCTTGCTGTTCCTGCTGCTGCAAACATGTTTGAATTTGCAATCACTCCTTTGCAGACAAAATAATAAAGGGCTTGAAGGAGAAGCCAGGCTTGGAAGATATTTCTTGTTATGTTATAGCACCAATCCAAAGGAACCTGGACTGTGTCATCAGTTGGCATTTTGTGTACGATAAAATTGAAACCAAGTGGGCCCTTTGGCAGAATAATTTTAAGTTACAAGTTCCTCTCAGCAGAAATTGTAATTTGTGGTTCTGTAGTGTTTAGTAAGGCTAGACACTGACTGTGAAATTACCTCATTTGGTTAGAGCATGGTGCTAAGGACACCTAGGCAGTGTGTTCAATCCCCATGTGGGACTTTTGCTTAAGAGTTGGACTTGATAATCCTTGTGGGTCCCTTCCACCTCAGAATATTTTGTGATCTGTGACTGGTCTTTAGTGCCTCTATAGTTTTCAGTCATTTGAGTACTTACAAATGACACAAAGACAAGCTTTGTAATTTTCACATCCTAGATCATTAATCTGACCACAAAGAGTAATGAATGATGCCAAATGACACCTTCTTTTTACAAAAGATAGTAGCTTAACAAAATTCTGTAGAACACAAATAGGTCATCTCCTAGAGAAGGAACTTTTATTTCTCATAATTACCTAACCAGTAAAGAAGAATTTCTTTTATCTTCTATGCATTTTCACATGTAACTAAAACAACATTGCTTGCTTGATTTTTTTAAACAATAAACATGGTCAGGAAAGGAATATTTAAGACAGCAATCAAAAATATGATAGGCCTCTCGAATAAATTTCTATAGTCTTTGAACCACACGTTTAACTTGTACAAGGCCATAATTTTTGCCTGAAATCTTTGCTGCAGTACACTTTGGTTATGGTAATAAGTTTGGGTATTTTATATTACACTTTCAGAATGGGAGAAATTATTGAAATTGGAACC